AGAGTGCTGCTATAGAAATGGCCAGGAAACAAGAACTGTTGTATGAATAAATTTGTTTAGACATGCTGTGTTTAATTCTCAAGTGATCTAATCAACAGGAACTACATTGGGCTTGCACTTTTGTTCTATAAAAAAAAAAATTTACAGCACGGTGGCGAGCCGGTGTCATTCTAATCCTTAGGTATCGCATCAGGTAAGGGCCCAAGTAGTCCTATGAACAAATCAAACCTAAAGATGTCGCAGGCAGAGAGCGTAAGGTACCTTCTCTATAAAATCTTTTTCCCCCCACCTGACGTTGGCCCTCGACCTTTTGTGGGTGGGATATCACTGGCACCCACACTCATATTAGTTTCAGACCCCTTTTCAGTGGCTTTCTAAAATTTGTACCCAATCGAATATACGGTTCATTTATCTCCATATTTTTACTACGTACTTCCTCTTCAGAGACCATGAAAACGTGAAGCAAATGCCCCATTAGGCTTCTGTATTTCATTTGTAATAAAAAATTGGTGATTGTATAATTGTTGCAGAGCGATGACCAGCCATTTGAAAAGGGAGAGCTGAACACTTACGCTGAAGAAGTGACGCTGAGTGAGCTGTGTAGCGGAGTGCTGAAAGTTTCGGCTACCAAAGTGCTGCCCGGAACTACTTTTGCCCGCCAAGATTTTCTTACCTGCCACCCGACCTCGAAAATTCGGCATCGCCACCCGGCGTAACTCTAGAAGACATCTACAGGTGCTGCGTTCAGCAGTTTAGCAATCAAGCGAATGAGGTGTTCAGCAGCAAGACTACGCTTTTGCTGAACTGGCACATGGATCCGCCACTGATCCGTGTTTATCAGCACGTCTCCGTTACGGCGGCGCTGAGGGACTGTGTTGATAAAATTATTGTTGCTGAAGTTTCGAGTTTAGCGAGCGGCGTGCAGGCAAAGCTGAAGCCGTGGTTACGGCTGACGACCTTCCTCGCAAAGATTGTGGAGAAATTGCGACTATAGATGCGGCCTTCTGAGATCCAACTCTGATGTTAGGCAAATTAATTTTAACTTTTCAGTTTACGAAGAGACTTGACCTTTTGTAGAATCTTGCATTTAAAAACTCTGCTTTTTAAATGTTGCCAACGTTTTATAGGGCTTTAGTATTTGAACATACATTGTAGTAACTGTTATAAAGTGAGCAATGTGGTCACTCGTTTTACCGTTTTACTGACAATCGGCTACGAGACCAATTTCAGTCCCTGCCGTTTGAAGCAAGATATTGATTAACGGTAATAGCCTAAAATCATAAATAGTTTTTCCTTTGCATATATCAAGAATATGCTTTCAGTCTTCTACAATAAACTGCCACTGAATTGTATCACCTGATGTCACCGCTTTCTGCGTGAAGGAATTGTGTTATGCACCAACTTTAAAGAACCTCCAGCTCGATGGCACTAACAACAGAAGTGTCTTCCTCCAAAAGTGCCTTGGCGTTCTTCAGAAATTCTCATTCATACAAAAATTTTGACGGCAAAATGACATGCGCTATAGAGAACTCTGCAAACTGCGGAGCAAACATTTTTATTTTCTCAGAAACATGAACAAACGGTTTGGTTTCTTACAAGACAGCTCTCTTTATTGCATAGCAACAATATGCACGACCAATGTGGCACACTGCTGTTTACAAGAGCACGACAAACGCGTTGTAGGTTGCTGGGAGCCAAAATCATTATCAGCCCCTCATCCAACGGCAGAGCACACAGGGAACCAAGAAGAAAAAAAAATAATAAGACAGGATCACAAATTACATACTATTTACAAATAACCCCTCTTATATGTTTGTACCTTTGGCAGTTTGTTGCAAATGAATCGTAGGCTGTACAATATCTTATCAATTTCTTCTTCAGTCCTTTTTTTCTTCTTAATTATGCATTGAGGTTGTTAGAGGGTTTCGGTGTTCTGCATTATTTGCCTCCTGCCGACAGCACACTACAGGCTTATCCGCCAGTACGCTGACGAGATTAGGAGTCGTGTCTTTCTGTTATGAGATGAAACTGTGATATCTGTTATGCTAGTTGTGCAGCATGGTTAAACTACCAGATATCACAAGTCTGTAAGCCCAAAATGGCAGCACATTTCTGCGCTCTGAGATATCACGTGGGGACTCTATGCGTGTTCCACAAATTGGATGACGCTACAAGCAACTAATGAGTTGCGCATCATTTGCATCCAAAGCAACCACAAAAAAAGGTTTGAATATTTCTATTTTTTTACATTACAATAACATTTTTTTACACATTTAGTATTACTAGGTGGCTCTCAAACATATAAATTTTTAAAAATTATCTAAAGCTTGAATTACGGAATGTCCGTGTGTAAACTGACCAGACCGAAATGGAAACATCTCTTGTGTTGCCATTTTACCTCGACTGTTCTAGTCATTGATATAGGCTTCAATTCTCAAATCAGAATCCAAGATTATTTCACATTTGATTCCTAGTACATTTGAATTGGAAACTCGTCTGCAAAAAAAGTAGTAGTTTGAACAAGTCGTAAAAGTCACGGCTTTTGGTCAAAGTTGCGTGTCATAGTTTGCCCTCTGAGAGTTTATATTTGTGATAATCTTCTTTACATCCATATAACAATAATATACAGGTAACCACGCATGAGGATATGAAAGAGAAAATTCCAAGAAGATTGCGTTTAAACACGTTACTAGAGTATGAATCACGGCAGTAGGAATTCATTACAAGAAATTATGAAGTGGCACAGAAATATTCATCAGCTGCGTTATGAAAATTTTATTGATTGCATAATTAAGGTACATAATATGTGTATGAGTGCATGTAGAGTTGGAAACAAAAACGTGCTGTGCTCTGTTTCACCTTAACGTGAGAACAATACGTTGGGCTACAAATATAATTCAAACAGTTGCTTTCGCTCCATTCAGCCTTCTGCGTATAACGCACTTTACGAAGCTGCATCCTCGCACGTGTACGTCGCTGTGTCCTTCTGTCGGTGCAAAAAGAATTGTGGGGACAATAAAACAGCAAAATAGCTGTACACATTGAATGAGAAAGGGCATTTGAAGCCTAACATCACGTCGATGCAAATAATATGGAGACGCCCGAGAATGCTACTGGGTATACGGTAAGCATAAAGTGCCCCATAACTGCACTGGTCGTAGAAAAGGTGTCGCACCCCGGTAGGCAAAGGGGGTTACGTGCGTAGCTCCCTTCGCATTTGCTGATCTGCAACCTATGTCGATGCTGTAAAAAGAATGCCACCTTAGAAAGCTGCTCCATCGAAACGACGCACTTGACGTGTTATCCGAAAGGATGGCTAGTACAAAGATTGTCGGCGTTATTGAATGTCTTCGTCACTGATGGACCTTGCGTCAACATTGTACATGAGTCCGCGGCATGCCACAGCACGGCATGCGTTCCGTAGCTTGGCATCTTCCTTATGAACCTCCACATAGGTTGGCACGTTAATACCCCGTTGGCCAGCCATACAGATACTAGGTTTTATATGGCAACAGGACGGCAAAAGCACGCAGTGAACCGCAAAAACGGTAAAACAACTCAATCAGATCTACAACATGATAGCGCGTATCACGCGCTACGATCGCGGAATGAACGAGCACGATCTGAGGAAAATAGTTGAAGCGACGGCGTTCTCCAGAATCATGTACTCTTATCCATACACACAACTAACCCAAATGCAAAAGAGGAAGATTAAAGCAGTGCTACGGATATGTCACCGTCTAGAACTACGAACGCCCAAGAACGCATCAACTGCGCTAGTGAACGCCACAGCTATTCACAACACCTTTGAGGAAAAATCCGAAATGCAACAAGAAGCGCTGAGACACAGGGTGACCACATCCCAACAGGGGCGGAAACTCTTGAGCAGTCTTGGATACTCAACTGAGCGACCCCCAGAGATCCCCACCCCGCCACCACCATGGGAGTCCATCCCATATCTTACAGCGCACCCCATCCCCAAACATATGCACCCAGAAGACTCGGAAAGAAGAAAGAGCAGAGCGACACATTTAAAGGACCCTGGTTATGACATCTACTACACGGACGCAAGATTCACAAACAGCAATGCCCCCACCGCATCGATGGGTTCCAAAGGTCACGTCGCCAGGCGTCATGCCAACGTCCCATCGGTGACAGCAGCCGAAGTAAAGGCGATCGCCGAAGCCGCAACCCTCCACTCCCACACAACGAAGGAGCTCATGATTAGAACGGACAGCCAGGACGCGCTCAGGGCTTACGCTAAAAACAACCTGACACATATTAGGACTCCTCACCACTTGCGCATCTACCTCGAGTGGGTACCAGGCCACCAGGCAATCGAAGGGAAGAAAGGGTGCACGCCCTGTTTCGAGATAACACAGAACCGAGCGTACCGATTGCTTGGCCGGAGGCCTAGGACCCAAGAGTGGACAGAGCGGAACAGAGGAAAAAACAAAGGACCTTCCTCAAGGATGTGATACAGGAGCAACGCAAATTCCCCACTCCACTACACGGTACATCCCGCAGACAAGTCATGTTCATACGGCAAGCACAAACAAACTCACTCCCGTGCGACATGACGCTACACTACATACACAACCTCGGAGGACTGCCCAGATGTCAAGTCTGCGGAGCACAACTTCCCGATAACAGGCATACATACTGGGAGTGCCCGAGGGCACAGAACTCGCCATAGATTCTTATAACTCAGCTACCACTCCATTCACATCCCCCACACGTGGTAGAGCTGGGCAGCTCCGCCACGGTACCTGCAAGCTACCTTATGGCAAGAACTGCAGAACCATGTCAAACATGTCATCGGATTAACACCATGTAACAACAACGAATATGCGAGCTAAGACGTACACTTCTCGTAACCTGACTACAAACATTATATAGAAGTGGTAAAACCAAAAAACGTGGCTCGGACAATGAGCTGCTGTAAATAAAGTACGTCCCTTCCTTCCTTCCTTCCTAACGTGGTTTGCTGGTACCGAGCGCTACAAAGGGTATACATATTCGGAATCCCAGTCGCGTTTGAACACGGACTCGAGCTGTTCCCTGATTGGCTGGCTCGGCGACGAGCTGTTGTGGGATTGGTCCATGATCAGCCCGACGCCACCGCTGTTGATGAAGTAATCGGGAGACCAGTTTGACGTTCCTGTACACAGAAATGTAAAATCATATGAGTGTCCGTGTCGATACCTTCGACGTGGTAACCGAAGATTTATCTGACATATAGTTGCCGAGAGAATGAGAGATTCGGGGGAGACCTTCCAGTTTTTCCCGCCTACTGGGCACGCTTTCTATGTTTGATGATACTTTGGAGTCTCATGAGCATGGGGGAAGGCAAAGCATGGTGAAAGGCAATGAGCACGTGCTAGAGGCCGGGCATTTGAGAAAAATGCCAAGGGATAGTTCCTCAACGTTCACGCTGTGAACCTGACATACTTTTTTTTTAAGGTGACAATGCTGAACTCACCGATGTAAACCTTGTTGTCTGTCACCATGTACTTGTTGTGGTTCACCCTGGCGTAGGGTACTTTTTCCTGCTCTGGCGTGCAAGACGGGACCACAAAGTATTTCTGAAAGGAATGCGAAGTAACGCTTCATCGTTCAACGCTTACGTGCCATTTTTTTACTGTGCGTTCTGATGAGCCTCGGCATTGTGTTGTACTTTGCACAGTTGAGATGACAGATTTCATAATTTAGGCTGACTTTTTTGACTAAACCTACTGCTGTGTACACGGTATGTCTGATATGCGGTGCTTCAGAGTGACATTTTGTAAAGATTTTCAACTTATTGAGTCCTTGGAAAACCTAAGTGTTGTGAAATGTAGGCTGCTACTCCGAAGCATTCAGGTGATACCTTTCTAAGTCCCGTAGAGTTCTACCACCAATATGCTTTTATACACCGCTTCAATGTTTACAAAATCAGTCCAGTGTGCAATCATTGCGGCCCAGCACACGCACGTTTGTCTCTTCGGAAAGCAAGTAAAGCAAGCCATGCTCACAAACACAACAAATTACGCTAGCCAGAAGCCAATTTTCGGAGTGGTCTATACAGGTTGTTATTTTGGTCCTTAATAAGTAATTCACTCGATAGGTGACAAGGCTGGCACTGCACAACCCAGTCACAAAGCAAACTTCAAATTTTCCCCAAACACATTTGTTGTATTGATGGTTCGAATCTGCTAGGCTATAGTACTCAATTCCAGCATAACTTGGCAAAGACATAGCAGCGGCCTTGGCGAGCCAATCAGAATGTCGGAGCGAAGCATGCACCCACATTCCATCTGTGCATGCTCCTGTGGGGAGCTGTCGCATGCTTCGTTCCGTCGCTCTAGCTGGCTCGCGGGAGTTGTAGCTTTTGCCCTTCGCCAAGTTACGTTATAATAGAGGGCACAATTTGCGCTGCTAGCCTTTGCTCAAATTTTGATGCTTTCCGGGAGGCATTTGTTATAACCGCAATTCGTTACACGCGCAGCTATTTTAACGTGGACAGCACCACGTTACTAGATCAAAATTAGTTTACAAGCTTCATAGTACACCTGGCCCCTTTTCATGGCACATCTGCTCAAAGGTGCTCGCTACGCTATCCGCCCATACCTGCTCGCGTGCAGGCAACAGAGAAGGACCGTTTTTGAAAGGTGCTCTTTCGTGGAGCTTGTCGAATTATGCATATAAGAATGCGTTTGTTGTCGCACTTGAGATGCCCTTGCTAAATGCGGCAGAAGCTGCGCTCACCACTTCGATGCTCGGCCTGTAATACGTGGAATTGTAGCTGACGGCCGCAATAGACCGTAGAAAAGTGAACATGTAGTCCCTGGTGCTCCTCCACTTGCTCACTAGCAGCCGAACTTGCACATTGCGTTCAACAGCTGCCGCCTTCAGTGCGTCGTCGATGCGGGGCCAAAACCTGCGACATATGCAATCGGGTATAAACGACCGTCGACATCCCTAACAGAAATTTAAAAGGATCTATAGACAACTGCAAGCGTGGCACCTCGACTGGTGCAGATGCGCGTAATCATAGCTTTGACAAGCTTGAAATTGCACGGGCTTTCCCACACGAGCAGTTAACATGGGGGCAGCCAGTTGCCTCGCTTGCAATCATCTATAGGAAATTCTATTGAACCAATAGAAATGTCTAGTGGTTCTATTGAGATTTCTACTGGTTCAATAAAACGTCGGCTGGTCCTATTCAGATTTTTAATGGTTCAATAGAAATTACTATTTTTCCTCTAGAGATTTCTATTGGGTCAATAGAAAATTTTATTAATCAACCAAGCCGAAAGCTTCATTGGTCCGAAAGGAAGGCCTACAGTCACTCTAGGAGGGCCTACTGAACCAAAAGGAACTCCTGCTTGTCCAATAGTAACTTCAATTGGTCTAGTAGAAACATCTATCGGAAAAAGTGAACATGTCTATTTCAGCAGTAGAGATGTCTATTGGACTTGCTGATCTGCGATCGGACCAAAAGAGATGTCAATATCGACGGAAACACTTTAATGGGCCGTGTTATTAATTCTAGTCTCTGATGTGGTCTCTACACACGCAACAAGATAGGTACTGTCATGGGACACAAAGTAGAGACATTATAGTCACTGACAAAGTAAGAATGGCAGGGAGGAGCTTCAGTTGTCCCGCTTCCAGCGTGAGCTTCCGACTTTCGACAGCGCTTTGGAGTCTTAATTGTGCACCTCAAGCGCGAGCGAGTATCCAAAGCATGATGGAAGGCATGGAGCCTGTGCTGGAGGTAAGGCATTCCACAGTCACGTTCTGCTCTTCTCACTTGTCAGAGACCATAGGTTGTTTTAGCGCAGTCTTACACTGGGTGCTCTAATGCTCCTTGCGCATGCTGAAGAGCGCACTACGATGGTGCAGCGTGAGTTTCCAGCAGCTTTACCGCTTCATACCGTAGCATGTGCTAATGCTATGCTTATACTGCCTGGTACATTCAGTGCTCAACTTTTTCAACTTTGAAGGTGAACAAAAGGAAACAAAAATATGCAAAATCGGCAGCAAAGAAAACCAGTTATATAAACTTTTAAAGCATTTTAGTAAAAAAAAAAAAAACTGCGCACTGTGCTATTGTATAAAATTTTATTTTCAGTAAAGCCTACAATGCAATACCCCTGACATCCTATATGACATCTGACTCAACACTATCCATGAAACATGCACAAGAGTTTGCTCTACTGTTGGTTTGTCACTGACACCAGAACATCAGAAATGTCTCTGAACGCTACTCGCTAAATTTAACTGGGAAGGCCACTGGTCAAGCATGACACATAACCACGTTACATCTCCCAAAAACTTTCCAAATCAAGCCAATGATTTTTATTTAAATAAATGGGCTTGATGTCTGCACTGTTGCCTATTTATTGCAAGAAGTCGGACCTTTCAAGCTCCTTATGGCCCTCATCGATGTTTTTTTTTTTTTGTTTCTTTTTGCTTACCGAAATCATTAAATTTATGTATGCTTACAGAACGGAGCTGGAGATACACTTGAGCATGTGACTTACATCTTGTTTTTTCCGTAGAGCGTTATGGGGTAGTAGTCCATGACGGCTATATAGATGTACTTCTTGGCACTGGCTATAACATCCAGAATGCTGTCAATGTCCTGTGTCCGTCCGTCAGGCGAAAAGCTCGGTGGGGCGCTCTGTGAGAAAACGCCAGTTCTTAGATGTACAATCTAAGAATGATTCATGTTGCACACAACTCTCTGTTACCCCGAGTTTGTATTTGAGCCCGAGAGCTCGTTTGTGGCACTTTTGGTATACAGGCAATGTAGCAACATATGCTGTGGCGATGTTTCTGATTTGAGAAATGCTGAGTGTGGCAATATTGTCTGACTACGTCCACTACTAGAAAGCAATCGACTGGTACTAAGTTTAGCGGGACACAGTGTCCACGAAACGCACACAGAATCAGTTGCGAAACCTCGCCGATAATGGCCGTTACCGCAAAATGACCAGAAGAATGTAGCATCAAAAGAACTTCTTGCTGGACCTTAGAAAATTCTTTGCATGGACCAACTAATCCTCGCTTAAGCAGAAGCTGGACTCACAGAGAAGTAAGCGAGGGTCTGTGTCCCGTTGAGTGAGAGCCGCGCGGGCGTCACGACGTTGATCTGGGTGCTCAGGTTGGCTGGCCAGTGGGCCGGCACCGTCGCGTCGGGCACACCCAGCGTCCAGTACACCTCGAACACCTTCATCAGGTCCGCCGCCAGGCACTCGCAGTCCAGCACCAGGGCACCCAGCTCTTTGACCTGAACCCCGGATGGAAATCAATTCGACTCCAATTTCGTGTTGCACTTCAATTCTAAATCAATTCAACTTATTACTCTTTTTACATCCATAGTCGTGAAGGAGACACGTAGAAAAAAAAGCTACACAGCGTAGTTTGACGAGTCCCTGTCTCGTATAGCAACTGGTGGGACGGGAATGGCAGGGACGTCTTCTAGCTGTCCCGTTTCCGGCAGGACAAACAAAACCTCCGCGTCTCACGAGCCTCGAGCTTGCACGCGTAGCTAAAGTATGGCGAAAGGCACCGGGCGGCTGGGATTTTTAAAAAAAGACGCCCTGCCGTTCTTGCCTTGTCTGAACGTATGTATACAAGGCGTTTAAATTTTAATTCAAACAGTTTTTTTTTTGTTTTTTAAATAGGGGGTGAGGGTTAGATGAGTTCCTGGTCTTCAGTGTGGATTTATATATCGGGCTGAGCAGACATTAGACGAGGGGATGATTGTCATGTGAAATTGACTAATTCACTAAAATTGGTTAATTAACTTTTTAATGATTGGTTTAGGGCTCATGTTGCAATTTCAGTGTTGACGGCAATTACCATCGGAGGCCGGACCAATTTAAACGAAATTGTGAAAGAGTAAATGTTTTCCAGATGTCAATTGATCGCTTTTTGCGTTTTTCCGCCCGATTTAAATATTGTGATCAAAAAGAGCGTTGCTAGCCCTGCCCACAATGACGCTTGGAAGAGTGATGTACTTGTTTCAGTCACGTTATGTCGTCAACGCACCCTTTAAGGACGCCCTGTAGAGGTAGCGACGACATCATTGAAACGACGACGCTCTTTCAAGCGTTATTGTGGGCAAGGCTTGCGACGCTCTTTTAGATTGCAGTTATTAAATTCACCAAAAAAACACAAAAGTGGAATGATTACTTTTTGAAAAGCCATTACCTTTTTGCAAATTATTTTAATTGGTCTGACCGGTAATAATAATTGCCGTCAACACTGCATATGCAATGTGACCCCTAACTCCAATAATTTAAAAGTGAACAGATTTGAGTTAATCAGTCAACTTACCATGAAGATTATCCCCTCATCTAATGTACGCCTAGCCTGATAAATAAATACATGACGACGACAGAGCTCGTCTAAACCTCGTCCCGTATTGTTAAAACGATCGGTCTGAATTAAAATCAAACATCCTGTATAGGATTTGACATATCTGTTGGCCCACAAATCACTCAAAGTTACAGAAAATTTGTTACGAAAAATTACACCGTAATAGAAGTTCATGAACAAAGATAAAATCGAGCATGCAACATCCAGGGTTCTTTTAAAACGTATTGTTAATGAACAGTTGCCTTATCTGAGAATGTATTGACACATGTTTCACATGAATATTCTTTTGAACAAGTTTGTTAATTGTTGACGGGACAATTTGATGAAGCCTTTGTAACCCATAATTTGTTCTTGCATATGGCGCTCTTATATAGTCTGGTCTCATGCACGCGCTGTGAAGTTGGGTTTCAAACCAGAAATGGCAAAACAAGGAAGGATATGTTATTGTCATAATGTATTATTATGATTATGTACTATTTTTGTATGTCTGAGTTAATATCTGAGTATAAAAGTCAACAAAACCGAAATCAAACACGTGCAAATGACAGAACTAGCCAAAAGCGCAGGTTGCCTCTTGCATCGTCGTTCACACTAGAGGGCTGGCGCCGAGCATCGAACACTACTGCCCTAGCCTATGCCGCAGATACTCGCATTTTATCACATCATTAGTTCTGAGGACAGGGAAGCTCTAAAATTGGCACGTCTTGGATTCGTAAAGCGCCAAAAAACAAGGACCACAGGAGGAATTGGACGAAATGATATGCTACTCTCAGGTGAAGTTTTTATTCGGAAAATACAAACATATATACGCTCGCAAGCGAACCATTCGCTCACAATCAAACTTCTCGCGAGTTTAATTCAAACTTTTCATCTGATAGAAGGATTGACGATGTGCTGATGCATGCTTCATTGCCCTTCAAACTGAATTTAAAAGCCTCGAATATTTCTTTTTTCTCCTTTTGTGAGGCAATGGTTCACTTGAGAGCGTATATATGTTCGTCGTTTCCAAATGAAAATTCAGCTGAAAGTAGCACTCCGTTTCGTAGAACTCCTCCTGTTTTCCTTGTCTTTTGGCGCTTTTCGAATCTAAGATGAACCAACCTGGCCAACTACGAATGCTTTTTTTGCAAAAATGGGACAACCGGCGATAGAGCATTTGTGCTGGTTTCTGTATCGTAGGAGTAGAAGCTTGCAAAAACAATTTGGCAGAGACACGTAGGACTGCTTTCGTGTAGGAATGTGAAAGCATTCCTGCATGCAGTGCATTCCTAGAAGCAGCACGCCAAGCTTTCCTATCGCATACGGCGCTGCGGCGGGGACATCAGGCTCCCCCACTGCGCAGACGCGGCAAACCTTGCCGGCTTTGCGACAGCTTTGGTGACGAAGCATTGCGTTGCTGCGCTTTTCTTTGCATTTCATTTCCCAGGCTCGTCCGCTATGACCTCGAGTGACCGCGATGGCTTCCATGACAAAGCTTCTGATATGACGCGTCGCAACCAATTTAAGGGCCTTTTTTGCGGTTACAGACACTGCCAGCTCCGCTCCAAGGGAGAGTTAATGCTTTCACATTGAAATACAAGCTCATGGAAACAGATTAAATGTGAAGCACTTTTTATAAGCGCTCGGTTTGGTCATCACTCGTTACAAGAATATTGCTGCGCCCTACGTCATGTAGGTGCCCACACCAGCTACATCGCTAAGGGCATTTTACGATCCTTGTGCATATGCAAACTCTCCAACTTGGAAAATCGGTACTTGGATTTAGCATCCTGAGATTCTTTTGAAACTAGAAAATCTTTAAGGTGCAACTGTGTTTCGGTAAGAAGAAAGCGGCAATTAGCAGCATTCATTCTGAAATTACCAGTTGACATTAAGGGAGCTTGTTCACTAACAAACGTTAGCACACCTTTAGGAAAGATATTGGCTCGCTTCAAATTCGATATTTAGAAATCATTCGAGGGCTCGCAGGTATGTAAAATGTTTGGGACACCCTGAATCCAAGCAATACTTAAACAGAAGTAAGCTGATGATTGTTCGTCTTGAATAAAAAACAAGAAGAAAGCCAAGACTGAGGAACACGAATCCCGGAGAAAAGCTCACCGGAGAAAAGCTCACCGCAAAATTGGCGGATGCGGAGAAAAGCTCACCGGCCATTGAGCGTATGCGGGGAAAAGCTCACCAATTTTTTTCTTCTTCTTATATAGAGGCTGTCGGATCATGCGTAACCTATATCAATTTATGAGGATTAAAATTTGTCAGCTTTGTAAAAAAGAAAACACCATTTTTTGTAATATTGTTATTGGGTATATTGCTCCCAAATTAATAATCGCGGGTGAGTGTTTTCTATGGCTTACTCTCTACGCAACGAAGCCTAAGTGAAAACTTTATGTTCTTGAAGAACAGGAAAGAGTTCGAAAACTTATACATGTCTGCCTAAAACCTAAAACTCAAAACTATAAATGCCGAAAATCCGAAAGTGCATGGGCAACAACGCGGTGCCTGACATTCTCTTTGAAGCCTTTGTTCACCTTTGAAAACGGGATAAAGCAGTCAGTAGGATATCGAGGCTTCTATCTTGTGCGGACATGCGCGTTTTCCAGTCGCTCGTGCTGGTGTTTCCACTCGTTGCCTTTGTGTGATAGTGCCCTTCTACTGCGAGCCACCCGTGACCTTGAGAGCTGCACACTCTAAGCTTTGTAAATCGTGACCTATATAATAAGTAGTCTTGCGTAATGTAGCGAATAGGGCGAGTTGATAAACATGATGAAAACCGCTCAGACGACGACGCCGGAGTGAAGACAACAAACAGGGCAGGACGAGGCCGTTCTCGCAACTAAACTTTTGTTAGTGAAATTAACAGCGTAGCCGACACTGATTACATCAACAAAATATTGGGAGCTGAAACGGTTCACAGACCACTGTTCATATTAGCTCGCGAAGAACCAACCTCTTTATTTCACAGATCTACCGAAGGCGCACTGTCACCTGTCAGTAAATTGTTGTCTTTTTTTTTTTTTTTTTTTTTTTTTTACCAGTGTACGAGGTTCTTATTTTATACTTGCGGCTTAATTAATATACAGAATGGGTGATTACTAATTTCTGAGGAATTAGTAAATATGCCCAATCAACTTCAAGGATATTACAAAAAAGAGGACATATTATTAATGAAGCGACGAATGCGAATTGTGTTCAATTGCCACGTTTGACGCAGAATCCGCTAAGTTAAAAAAAATCGGTGAGCTTTTCTCCGCATCTGCTCAAAGGCCGGTGAGCTTTTCTCCGCATCTGCCGGTTTTGCGGTGAGCTTTTCTCCGGTGAGCTTTTCTCCGCCGCCCGAGGAACACAGCAGAGGCCAGATTTTCAGCACTGCCGAAAAATATTTTGCACAGCAGCCTTTTTAAGACGTGGCGTCGGAGCATACCTGCGTGAGAGACCTCCAATCCATGTTGGCACTGCCCAAGTAGATGTGCTTCCCATCCACGATCCAGAACTTTGTGTGCAGCACTCCTGCACCTTGCAGGCGAGTGAAGTTGAGGCTACGGACAACTGCCGCCCCTGTAAAGGAAGGACGACAATAACTCTAAAGTATCTCTAAAAAAACACTAATGACCAGTCCTGGCAGGACGGAAATTTCCCGAGAAACAAATCTTGCTGGTTGGTACGTCGTCGTACAAAAATTTCAATGGTCCACTTCATCTACAAGAAAATAATAATAATGATTATATTTTTGAATACGAAAAAAAAAAAAAAACCTGATATATGAATATTAACCAATCACGGGACACAGACTGAGCGGTACGCTGCCCTTTCACAAGCCTCTAAAAATGGACACAATGCTGTAAGTCTGCCGGAGGTTGATCTACAGGTGATGCCGTCTCTTGTGACAAAGGAGAGCTTGGCAGAGGTCAGCAGCCGCAATGGGTTGTTCTCACTTCCACTGAAAAATGGAAGTTTTAAATTTTTTTGTTCTTGGCACAGGCTGACTTGAGTCTTAGACTATTTAAAAAAAACAATGCTACAAGCTTTGGGAAGAGTCTCACCATTCTAGGTTTTAGTTATTTTCTGGAGAGAGGGGGGGGCGGTGACTTTTTGCGCGAACACCTCAATGGTAATAACAGTAACACCTCGTTAACTCGAACACGGCTATCGCGAAGTAATGGTTAAGTCGTAAAATTTCCTTTTCATGGAATGAGCTCCCATAGCCGCAATGCATTTTGCCCTTGCGTATCTCAAGGTTTTCAGGACGGACTTCGGATATCTCGCAATCTCGTCAACTAAATCGCGAGAAAAAAAAAAACTAAGAAAAAACAAAAACTGACCAAGAAATGCGCAACATGCACAAAAAAAAAAAAAGAAAGCCGCATGCGCAAAAAGAAAAAAAAAAGAACGAAAACGCGCTAGCGCAAGAAAAGAAAACAAAAAGATAACCGCGGGTGCGTGTACGGAGGCGCGGAGAGGATGCGCGACGCGACTCAAAAACGTGTCTTGTCTTATTTTTCTTTTCTAATTATTTTGTTTATTTTTACGACCTCTATTTGGACAAGCTAATCACAAGCCGAGATGCTTGGCGTTCGGTGCCCCCTTTCCCTCGAGCGTTTTGTTCCTCTCTGTCTTTCGTTTTCTCTTTGCTTCTGGGTTCTTCCGTTCCCTTCCCATTCGGTCGTCGTCAGTCTCATGTTTCCCAGAGGTGTCCGTTCGTTTCGAGTGCCGCTACTCTAAGTTGCTTGGTCGCCAACCTTCTTTTTTTTTGTGTGTGTGTATCGGTCGTTTTGCGGCGCTACACGAGCAAGGGTCAAGTGTTCAATTCGGTCATCGGTTGTCAATTCTCTGGCGTTGTCGGCGCTTGGCTCGATTGACCAAGACGAAGGCGCAGCCCAAACAGTGCAAATCATTGACGCTTGAGAGGAAAGTTGCTCTCATCGGAGAAGTTGATGTTCCCGCGATTATTAGAAGTTTTATTTAGAACATCGCGCGATGAGGAGGTAAAAATATTTCGGTACTTTGGTTATCTGAAATTTTCCCCCGGTTTTTATGACTTGGAGTTAACGAGGTATTACTGTACATCAGGAATCCTGTTCTCAGCACAAAGAGTAAAGTTATCGATGGCACAGCTAAAAGTGAACAATCATCCATAGGAGTACCGAAGTATGACATATACCTTTCTGAGCCAACTCCTCCGTGTCGATGTTTGGTTGTTTATGTGAAGGCAGGTTCTGGGCAATTTTTATCTTGATGCCGCACTCGGTGCCCGCTTCCAAGAGTTTGTTGAAGATCTCCTCTCCCTGATTAATCGCAAAAGAAAAAGCAAAGATTTCAATGCCTCGGGTAAAACTGTGAGTGGAGGCAAAGGCGACTTTAGTCTGTTCCACGCTTTTCTTTCTCACAAAACGTTTACAGTGGAGTACAGATTATAAGGGTAGTCCGAAATTGCAACTACTGGTCCCTGAAAAGGCGACGTAGCAGAAAACAAAAATGCAGTTTTAGCTGCTGCCCGCTGTCATTTAGACAAAGGCAGTGAGGTACATCGACGTGATTTTCCTTCATTCCATTGAAATGTTTATGCAACGTGACATAAACATTTATGCTACACTGCACAAGAGTATATGCCACAGCCACACTGGCATAATATAGAAATAATAACATTCGAATCTCGTTAATGGAAACTCTCTTAGTTCAAACTTGGAGATAATTAAAACTAACATGCAGGTTCTATCCTATGTGTCTGTGGGAGGAAACTCCCGATAATTCAAACCTTGCTTCATTTAAACAAATTTTCGGTCCCCCTCGAGTACGAATTAACGAGATTAGACTGTATAAAAGCATTTATATCCTATATGCCACACATATGTATAAGCTTCGTGCATGTCTGTAGAGCTTTTGTATGATCCGCACGACGGGACCATCAGACGAGGAAGAAACGCGACTCGGACATTGTTTGCAAATAGCCTTTTTTGTGAGGTCTTCAGCACCCTACAACTGGTACAAATTTCTTAGAGCGAGAACGATTTCTCAAAACTGGTCTGACCATAGCTGCAATGCGTTCGGTGGGAAACGAAGGCTGGACTGACCTGCCACGCGGAGGGGAACGTGTCGTTGAGATCGCTGCCGCGGAGAGTCCAGTAGAAGGACGCTATCAAGATTTCTTTCTCTGCCCTCTCCAGAAGAGTCTTCCATGCGTCAAAGGTGCTCACGTGTACTGGCGAGCCGTCGGGGTACGTGAGGCTTTCAGGTATGCTTTCCACGAGTGTAAATCTGCAGGAAATGACATGAACACCAGACCGGGTTTTACAGTGGAATGTGAGCTCCGCTCAATTTTTGTCGCTGCGAAAATAATGCAGTTCTTCGTGGAAGTGTCATGCAGGAAGACCACCAGTCAAATATTGCGATGTAATTTCATCTAAATATTTATCAAGCTGGCGTGTTTAGCATCCTACACATTCCATGTATGGAGTCAAAGTATCCCGGCGTAGCAATTCAGCTTGTGTCGCAGGAGCTAGCGGCACTTATTTAGTTCCTGGTGTTTGGTAATACAAGTCTCCCCATTCCTTTAGTTAGCATCACTGACAGTGGTCGTCTATGTGACAAGCTGAATAATGTCATATAAGGTAATCTGTTCTCGCCCACATCAATCGCACAAATGTGCTGCGTTTCTAAAACCCTAGTTTCGCATTCATTGTCACCTCAAATTACACTCGTATGTTCATTTATTACTTCCTTAGGTTAATTTCTATGCTCATGGTAAGGGGGGACACTGCCTAGGAATGTCAACTTTTGAACCGCTCACTCAATTGGCGTGATATTTGCAGGTGGTGCATGTAGCCATACAGGAGGGCATGCAAAGTTTCAGTCGTGTGAACAAGTATTATGAAGCACCCTCAGAACTATACCCCCAGAACGAAGTAAAGCAAAGCTTTCCATGGAATCTGCTCAATGAATCTGTAGCGGCGAGCGAAGCGGCACCGAAGAAGACGAAGTGCGACACGAGCAGATGGCACGAGACACAAAACGATCTGCGGCAGCAACCAACACGCACCTCCGGAAGCAGACATCATCAGGGCTACAAGCACATCAATGCTATAGATAATTTGTAAATATGTAAATAACTTAAGGCCAAAACCCCTTCAAGCTGTTGGAAGCGAATTCTCGGACGCCATTTCGACCTCGGGCTCGCACGTTCGACTCCACGCCTTCGACCAGACACAGCAAGACTCCTTCTTCGGCGGCAGCTGGAAGTCGATGCCTGCCGCTCAGCCGCCCATTCCACACCCCATGTGGCAGCCTCGGGGAGCCCCGAGACCCAGCTGCATGCCGACCAGCGGTCACCTGGAGCTGAACTACCCTGTTCCAAAGGCTGCAGAATTCGAAGGCCAGGCCGCTCACGGAACCATGTCTCCCAAGTCGCAGCTTCGTCGCTCCGAACGAAGCTCGACCGTCGGTGCCGCCGTTCGCGTCCCAGCCGCAGGACTTCGACTGGCCGAACAACGGTTCCGCAGCTCCGCCCGTGCTGAGGGTCAACTACGACATCGTGCCCGGCAGCGACCTTCACTGGGTGGCGCTGGTCAGGAGCAGCCCTTGCTAGGCAAGCCGTGCATCAGAGCCAGCCTCAGCAAGTCCAGCATTCTCAGCAGCTCCGGCAGCAAGAGCGGCAACAGACAAAGCAGGAGATGGATACGCAAGTCTCTTCACAGGCTGCTACGCCAGACGAAAACGACGCCGAGGACAGCAGCGCTGGGATAGCTGGACTCTCCGTAACCTATTTTTTGCCCTGAGTCTTTTTTTTATTTTTCTATTCAGCGCGTTCGCCTTTATTTCTAAAACATTTGATTGCCTTTATTAATAAAAGTTTGCTAATTTCTGTCACGTAATACCTTGAAATCAGGGTTGGGCAGTATCGCGATACAAATGTATCGCGATAGTATTTCAGAAATACATTTCGTATCTGTATTTCTGTATCGCGATACATTTTTTTCACCAGTATCTGTATTACTGTATCGGAATGCATTTTAGATGCTCCTTTGTATTGCAATACAATCAGGGTGAAATGTATTTCGTTACATTTCTTTAAAAATACCTCCCCCCCCCCAAAAAAAAAAAAATTAACGCATTTTTTTTTTTTTTTATTTCTGAGGGCTTTAGGGCCAAGGAGGTGCTGGGGAATTGTTACCATACTGACCAAGGTTCCTTCCGATTCTCCAGACTATTTTCCTATGCGTCCTCTTCGCCCTTCTGAGAAGTGTTGCGTGGTCGGGGACTCGAACTAGTTAGCATGCCAGGAGTAGAGTCAGAGCATCTTCTGCCGCAGGTCCTTAGGTAGGGATGCCTTGAGTTATTATTTGCTGACATCCAATGCCCGCTGCTAACCATCTCTTTTGCCTTAGCGTACGTAGTACACCCGGCCGGCAAAGCTGAGTCACAGTCCATTGCAGCAAGAGCCTGATGGTGGTTGACTTAAAATAGTAGGATGACCCACGCAGAAACAGATATTCAGATATGCGTCTGCTGCTTCGCCCGTAATATTGCACGACTTAAGGGTACGTCATCAGCCGACGTGAACGTGACCCGCTGCTCTGGTGATCTGAAACCGAGCAAGGAAGTCAGACGTGGCCTCGCTGTGCCGACCCAGACTTCGTACACCTGCGACTCGTCTCGAGTTCGCTGTTTCTCAAGGAGCTCGCACTTGTGCCGGCAATATCAGGTCGCAATCCACGAGGTCTCTGTTTGGAGTATGCAAGACAAAATCTGAGGACTGCAATCCATGCGTCGGTGGCAGGGGGTCGACAGGAAAGACCTTTACAATAGAGATGCCACCGTATCGTTTTTTCAACCGTAAGAGAAGATAAGACAGGTGTTCCAGGATGCTTCAGGTAGTCCACTATTTTCGAAAAATCCAAATGACACTGCCTGCTCGATCTTCAACGAGGTAACCTGCAACGAAAGTACGTATTGTCCTTTCATACAGCAGCGTGCTAAAGTTTCATGTTCAAGGCCACACCTACAGATAGAAAATGCCAGTTAATTCCACCGTGACGTCATGGGATAAATGTTGACAGGGGCGTCCTTATTGGAATAAGACGTGGTGATTTAGGATGACATATACTTTATTTAGAGGTCGAAGTCTTTTGGCATCCCTCATCAGACAGACAGGATGTCAGGGAAGGGACCGCGGTCAGTCCTTGATGGAACGTTTTTTTGAGTCCATTGAAAACTCCTCGTCGTCCTAAATCACTACCTTCAAAACAAATTTCCAAGCCAAAAGTAATTTCAGGATAAGAAACTTCAACCTCCAACTTCAAGCATCTCATTTGGCGTCTCAAAAAAATTTTAAATATGTATTGCAGTATCAGTATTTTTGTATTTGTATTTCTGCCCTCCCTAAAATGTATTCCTGTATTTGTATTTCCAAATACTTTTTGCCTCTTTTTAAAATGTATTTCCGATACGTATCGCGATACATTTTACAGATATATCTCAGTATCAGTATTTTAGCTACTATTTTAATGTATCCCAGCATTTGTATTTCCAAATACATTTTTGAGTATTTCTGCCCAACCCTGCTTGAAATAACGATTGTAATTTTTAGGCCATTTAATCTTGTGTGTGAAAAATGTGCATACCCTTTTCAAAAGTCCGCGCCATCACCTGTCCGCCATTGCTTGATCCCTTACTTTGAGCATGTACTGGATACGAGGGTTAGAGTTCGGCGTGAACTCTGCTCAGCGTGAACTCTGCTCAACTCGTATTGGAAACGAGTACTGCGTCAGCGTTCGACGAGAACTCTGGTCCAGTTCAGTCTTAGATAGTAACGCGTTACAAGTAACGCGTTACTGTAACTTCGTTACATTTTTAAAAAGTAGCTCGTTATAGTTACAAGTTACCAAAAAAGTAACGAGTTACTTTTTAAAAATGTAGCGGCGAGCAATGTACTATGTAGCGGTGAGCGGAGCGGCACCGAAGAAGACGAAGTGCGACACGAGCAGATGGCACGAGACACAAAACGATCTGCGGCAGCAACCAACACGCACCTCCGGAAGCAGACATCATCAGGGCTACAAGCACATCAATGCTATAGAGAATTTGTAAATATGTAAATAAATTAAGAAGGCCAAAACCCCTTCAAGTGGTGACCCGGACCCGGACATTCAGCAACCGACCTCAGCCTCGGCCATCCTTGGCATTGACTTCAACCTTGGCCAGCCACTCCGAGCATGGAACGGTCCACCGGTAACGTTCCCGCCTCCACCAGCTCTTCCCCTGCATCCCCAGACGTTGCTGCAGCTCTGACGTTCAAGCTTCCAGAGTTTTGGACATCGGACGCGGAACTATGGTTCCTTACCATCGACTCCTTGTTCCGCAAAAACCACATCACGTCACAACTCCCGAAATTCGACCACGTCGTCGCCGCATTGCCACAACACACAGCTGCGGTAATTCGAGACATTCTGCGAGTGCCACCCGAGGATGAGCCTTACAACATCCTCAAGCGAGAGCTGATCCGCAGAACAACGGCTTCAGAACAGCGTCGCCTTCAGCAACTCCTTACCACCGAGGAGTTAGGGGACAGGAAGCCATCAGAGCTCTTGCGGCGCATGCAACAGCTACTCGGACATCGCGTCGACGCACTAGATGGATCGATCCTGCGGGAGCTCTTCTTCCAGAGGCTTCCTGACCAGGTACGCATGATCCTGGTAACATCATCCTCGGACTCTTTGGAGACTCTAGCAGCTATGGCAGACAAAATAATGGACGCCGGCACGTTCGGGTTGAACGCAGTACACCAGCGTTCTTCACAATCCGAGCAAACCGAAAATTCGAAAGAGTTCAGCGACAAACTCGCACAACTCTGCATTACAAACGAGCGTTTACTGGCCAGAGTCGACAAACTCTCGAGGGAGGTGCGGGACATCAAACTCGCACGATCCCGGTCCCCAAGCCCTCACGACACGCCCACAGGGGGCAGCCGACCACGCAGTCTATCCAATTCCCGTGATCACCAGTGGTGTTGGTACCACCGAAAGCATGGCAATTTCGCCAAGAAATGCCAACAACCTTGCCGTTTTCCGGGAAACTCCAAGACCATGTGCTGAAGACGGCCGGCGCCTCTGGTTTTGAATCTAGCCGTTTGTTTTACATCACAGACAAGAAAACGAAGATTCAATACCTTGTCGACACAGGCGCTGAAGTCAGCATTATTCCACCACAGTCTGAAGACCGTAGGCGAAAACAGCAAACCCCACCTCTCCAGGCGGTCAACG